CTATTCTCACTCCTTACCTCAACGATCACTGCACCCCAGTGTCTTTCTGAACGTTTACTCTTGATAATTTATTTTAATTCTACACTGATGTTACTTATCAAACTATTCATCTCGGCAGACGTTCGATAGATGACCCAGACATATTTTGATTTCATCATATTCACCTCAACCATCTTACGGGACGTGTCAAGCACTTGCTTTTATCCCGTGATAAATCATTGTTCATCGATGTAGTAGCGCGCCAGTTCCATCGCGACTAATGCAGTTCCGGTCCAGTAGTGTGCGTACGTTCCAGCACCCGATGTTGAATGCTTTGCGCGCAGGCATAGGATTGCATTGGTGGACAATCGCACGTGTGATGATGGTTGTGCTTCGGAGGTTTGCTTGATGGAATCCACCCGGATCCTTTGGCTCAGTAGCCTGACCCACAAGGCGGTGGGTGGTTTGGAGGTTTTCTTGAAGGACTCCACCCGGAGCCTTTGGCTCAGTAGCCTGACACACAAGGCAGTGGGTGATTTGTAGGTTTGTTTGAGGGCCCGAGCGTTTAGCTCAATAGCCTGACCCACAAGGCATTGGGTGGTTTGGAGGTTTATTTTAAGGACTCCACCCGGAGCTTTTGGCTCAATAGCCTGACACACAAGGCAGTGGGTGGTTTGTAGGTTTGCTTGAGGGACTACCCGGAGCGTTTAGCGCAATAGCCTGACCCACAATGCATTGGGTGGTTTGGAGTTGTGTTTGAAGGACTCCGCCCGGAGCCTTTGGCTCAATAGCCTGACCCACAAGGTTGTAGGGCGCAGATCCAGCTCGGGGATGTGATTGCCGAGACAGGTTTGGATCCGCTTGAGGTCCGTCATTCGCAGCCTTTTGAGATCTGGAACAATTCAGATAGGTTTTGTGACCGCAGTAGGATACGCCCCTACAACCACGGCTGGACGCAGAAGGGTTTTGGCAGGTTTGCACCACATTTACGAGGGGCTGCCTGACTTGAGGCAGGCAGTAGCAAATTATTAAGCACCCGGAAGTGCCCTCCCACCGTCAGAAACAATGCGTGGCGCTCGTGCTCTACGCCAATCGAGCTGTGAGCTTATAACCCGTAGACCTGTTGTCTCCCATTGTTAGGTTTCACGGGAAGAGGGCCATTGACCACTTCCTAACCTACGAAGAAGATGGACTAGGATACTGGCAGGGCGCCCACACCTGACAGGAGAACGACTCGGGTCCTCAGCCAAAGCCTTCGATTAAATGTACACCTGAAATGCAGCTGGTCTAGCACATGGCCAATTCACTGACTCATGTGGATTGGTGTCCTGGAGCTTAGCAGGGAGAAAGGCATAACCCAACTCCCACTCAGCGGTCGCCACGTGGAGGCGTCCAGGACATGAGCCCATGGTACAGGAGTAGCAGCAGTGGGTAGACCGTCTTTCAGGATTTAGCCACCACCAATCTCAGTGCACCATAGGCTCTCTCGCTATATATCTCAACCTATGGATGGAAACCGATGAAAGGTACAGTTGTCATAAGAAGAATACCGAACACAGCGCAGTGGCCTCGCCGGAGTCATCGCTGAAGTAGACTTTAACAACTTAAACAACTCTCACGTACGTTACTTGTTATTCAAAAGACTATTCAAGTCACCGTAGACCCTGACGCGGACTGTGGTGCTCGGGTGCAGTACACGTTAAGATGTTTACATATCTCATGATAACGCCTTTCCGCGCGAATATTTCGAACTGTATGGATCAGTAGACTGAGTCAAGCGTACTCTTGAAGTCAATGAACATAGGTCTAGTCAGTCTGCGGTACGAGTGCCGGTTATCTAGCACCTGCTCTTGGGTAAATATGTGATCTATACAGTCTCTTCTTAGGCGGGAACCTGCCTGCTCTTCTCTTATACGGGATTACCGTTCCGCAGTATGCTAACGGACAGGTGACCCAACTCGTAGTCTACCGCTTCGTCGAAATTTGGTAGGTAACAGCACTATCCTGACACGTACACCTCGGTTTCTGCCATAGCTGAATACTTCGATATTCTTAATGTATCTGATTGTTTGTAGTGACAAGACAGCATGTGTTTTGTTCTCACCCATTTAGCATGTTTGCCGGAGCACCCCTCATTTCCGATGATTTATCGAACATGACGATGCTGGTGCGACCTCTCGCTGTCGCTATTCTTTCATTGCGGTTGAGTGTCCTGAGCCTGTGTCACCATCACCTCCTCCTATTCTGAGGTTCGGATCGTGTGCTCGGTGGTGTGTTGCTTCCGCTGCAGACGCATCACTGTAAAACTGGACGTTAGCTCGGTAAGCAGATTTATCTACTTTCTAGGCGATTACTTTGCAGGCCTTGGATAATGAGTGCGCAATATCCACTTAACTATTTTCTTACCCATTGGCTTTGCACTCACAGCCTTGCGCTTCTTTCCCTGTCACCCTGTTCACTTTAGAATTCCTCCTAGTTTAGTCCTCATTTGATTCAAGTCTTGGCCGCCCCACTCTCACTTTGTTGGCTCAACATGCATTTCTGATTTGACTGCCTTTAGTAACAAAAGCACGAAGTGGTTTTATCATCTAAGAAGTACTGCGTCTTATATGCTTTACTTACATACTCTCAGTTTGCTCAGTAATCAGTACATGCCTTTGTCATATGTGAAATATTCTTTAGCTGTAGCGACCACATATAGGTATCCCTTCTTAGTGGCTTATTCTTCTCACTTATATCTCACCAATCTGTCCTTCCGGACCGCTCCTTATCTGAACTTTTGTGTAACTTTCTTCCGTGTCTATGCTTGCGAAATGTCTATAGCAAAATAAGTCGAAGTTAACATTAAGCCTTTGGAGTGCTGCGTCACATTTGGATCTCTTAGTGCAAACGTTTACTCCGTGACGTAGTTGCTTATCACAGATACACCTTCATGGCGGCTACCACACTTGAGCCTTACGTCACTCTGTATCTTACTTTTGTTCTTCCAGATCCAACTCAAAGTCGAGTGCCATGCACTGGGTCTCAGATCTTATCATTGAGAAACTCATCTAATATGGCGCTTGTGGACAGAGCGTGGCCTTATAGTCTATCATCCCTTGTTAACAGAAGACTCCATACATTGGTGTGGTGCACTCTAAATTGCAACGGACTCTACCGAAATGCCAACATCATCGGATATCATTCCTGGATAACTTACTGGTCCTCTTGTGAGCTGGATCACTGAAGCCAGGCTAGCTTTTACTATGCTCATGGTTGCATCGACCATATTATTACTCTTCGCCAAGTAATAGCGCAGGGACACAAGTGATTGATTATGTTGGTTTTCCTTGACCTTGATGACACCAACTTGTGGCACTGTCTATCAGTGAAGGGAGTGCTTGGAAACTTTCTACTGAAGTCTGTCTACAGTGACACCCGAGGCTAAGAAAGGTCTGTACGCCGCCGCGGGATCACCATCAGTCGCGCGTGGGCTGAGTATACCGCGAGGACGTCCGCCCCTATGCGGATTCGAACCGGTGACCAGCCGAAGTGAGATCCGCTGATTGACTCAAACACACCTAGTCAACGCTCCAACAAGCAGGCATTCTGCGTTGTGTAGGTACAAAATGAAAATATTTTTTATAATATTTTACGCATCGTGCTCAGACAAACAGGGGAATCTCCAGATCACTACAGTACTACCCTAACTGGTGATATAGCGTTTGCGGTTAGCCCGGTGAGCATCTCATACTTTAACCTTTGGAGTTTTAGAAAACTCCGAGTAAATGTACTGTTTAACTCTCAATTCGGTCAGTGATGTACACCTTTAGAAATTGCTGTTTCCTTTTAACTTGTAGCGCGAGTACTCACATTATTGGCTGTATTCACTCATGTCTCGTTAGCGTACGGAAATAAGAAACTACGGTTTCTCTGTGCAAGTGCTCGCTCGCCAGCTAGGAGTGTATCCAGTCCACTGGAACTAACACCAGGTTATTGATTATAACCTGTTTGCCGGAAGTCGATGATCATGTGTTTTATTGCCTATATGGTCTGTGACCCCACAGCCAAGCGATTACTGAATATTTGCACCAACGCGCTTCTCCGGACTTTTTGCGTGTTTTTTCTTTACAGGGTTGTCAGATCGCACTAGCTCAGTTCAGCCGCAACGCAACTTTCCAATCCCATATCAATGTGTTTATCGCGCTTGCACCTGTCGCTTACCTCGGCAACGTGGAAAGCCCAATACGTATAATCGCGCCGCTCGCACAGAAGATGGAATACGTGTTGCGCTTGTTCAACCACGGAGAGTTTTTACCGAGTTCTGATTTATTGACATTTTTGGGTAAATTGCTCTGTACCGAAGGTCATGCACCAATTGTGTGCAAAAACATCATCTATCTCATCGCGGGCTACGATGCGGGAAATACCAATGTGGTGAGTTAGCTTACGCCATTGTGAAACTTCTTCTGTAATCTTGTCAGCTAGCACGCTGTAATCAAACAACCAGATCCCCTTACCTTGACTGTGAAGCATCCTGGTGAATTAGTCATACCGTTACTCTCTACATCTACACACGGCACGTTCATGTCCCATATGTTTTCCGTCTATGGATCCATTTCACTGCATTTTACCTGAGATCACAGACCAGTGAATAACAGACATCTTTCTTTAGCGATAGAGGGCTCAGAACAGACCCTATTGGCTCCGTCACAATCAGTCTAAGCCAGTAGTTCTTAACCATTTTGTGGCTGTTACCCACAAAGCGGGTCCACTGCAAACAATTACCAAAAATATGCTTTAAAAAACTAATTAGCCATTAACTGCTGCATTTGTTGCATAAAATTGCAGCAAATGAATACTATTTTTAGTGACTTTCCACCATTCAAATAAAATAAACACATTACTTATGAATGGAAGGATTTCGGTGAGTATTTTTGTTCGTCGCAATCAGCCGACAATTCAGATTTGTCGACCAGCTGTCCGGAAAAGCACCAGACGGCCGTTTCGCCCTATTGGGGCTCATCAGTGGTGCGCATCCTTCGGTCCTCTACGGAGGATCGAACCCATGACTGCTAGTGGCTCTTGCCAACTAGCCCGCAGCTTATGCAACTGCGCCATATTTTTGAACAATTTCTAGATAGCCAAGAAGTGCTGTACGTTAATGAAACGGTTGGTTTTGCTTAGTTCGAAGAATTTCTGGTATATTCGACGCGGTTTTGTCCATAGCACAACTTAAGTCGTACTCTAACTTCATTCGGTTCCTTGCTTTGGTGAGTGATCAAACAGGGACAGATGTCTGGTTTCTCATTTCTTCCAACTGTCCCTTCCAAGTCCTCCCTGGATCACAGCTTCTCACCACGAATCTGTATCCATACATTCTGAACCTTAATCGTCTTTTTTTATCTCTTCTACCTTTTAAACATTCGTTCGCTCCTTTCCTTGGTCGGCTTACCCATGCTGCCACTTTAGTGTTCACCCATTTCTGTAATTCGACTCGGCGAACGATTGACCGACTCAAAAGAACAGTGATCGACGAGCGAGCCGATAGAGGCACCATCTGGTTGTGATGTTTTGCGGGCTTGTATTCTTATTTTATGTAATAAAATTTATTACCGAAAATTGTCTAATTCACCGACCACTCACTAATGATTAGTCACTGATGGCTAATCAATAGTGATTAGGCAGTTAGTTACATGTTTTGAAACGGCTGCTTTTTGTATTAGTTTTGTTTGGCAATGAGGCTGGACCTTACCGTGGTGCGATGGTTTGTGTGCCTCAGCGATCCATTGAGCTACGCTGGGTGGTGCTTTTGCAATTCAGAGTCACTCATACCAGATTGGTCAATGGTTAGAGGCCAGACAAACTCAGCCTCCTGGTCCTCCAGGTTGGGGGTTGGGATGAGGATGGCACCTTATTCCTTAAAACGGACTCCTTGTAGCCCAACGCCAAACCCGCTGCCTTGCGGTCAGGTTTTTGAACCAAAGGCTTTGGTTGAGAACCCTAATCGTTCTCCTGTCTAGGCCTGGGCAACCTGACAGTATCCTGCCCACGCAATACTATGAATTTTCCTTCAAACAATTTCTTGATGCTCTGGCCACCGCAGAGGATAATAAACGGTGCCCTATCTGCTGCATCGAGCAGGGTGGATAGGGGTTTGGATGCTACTGCTCAAGCCTTCCCGTCTTCTTATTCCCCCTCTTACGCTTTTTCACTCTTACCGTCCCATTCCAACTTCACTCATATCCCCCCAGTTTTCAACCCCCCGATTCTTGGCCCTCCCCCAACATGCTTTGCTAGGCATTTATCTTCTAATTTCAACTCACACGTGAACGCGGAGCGTCACTCCTCTCCTGTCGACAAGCCCATGTCCAACCAAGCGGTCCAATCCAGTTCATCGGCTTCCATTTGGAGCCCTCGATCCTCCTTCAGATTGGCATGCCTCAATGTACGCACACTGCTACAAATCGGTCAACAGGCAGCACTTGCCCGAACATTGGAGACCCTCTCGATCGATATCTGCTGCTTATCAGAGACTCGCCTGCAAGACTCGAGCACTGTGCTCACTCTGCGATCTCCTTCAGGGGACGCAAGCAGTATTTTCTCAGTGCGCCTATCCGGTGACGATGCAGCTTCGAGCACCGGCCAAGCCGGTGTTGGTATTGCCCTGAGTCCCCGGGCTGAAGCTGCTCTGGTTGATTGGATTCCAATCAGTAGCCGGATGTGTGCGGTCCGATTGGCTGTCTCGTTTAAAGCTTCGAAGTCGCGCGGGACTAATAGATGTCTATTCATCATCGCTGTCTATGCGCCCACAAACTGTAGCGATGATTCGGGAAAAACGACTTCTACCGCCAACTGACCCAGCTCCTTCGCCACAGAAGAAGCTCGGACACTGTAGTGCTGGCGGGGGATATGAACGCACAAGTTGGAAAGTTGTCCACTGATGAACTGCATCTGGGCGGTCAACACGGTGTAGGCTCCCGTAGTGAAAACGGTGAGCGGTTACTTCATTTGTGTGAAGATGCTCGCTTATTTCTTGCGAGCACTAATTTCCGACACAGCACCCGCCGAAGGGTGACTTGGCGCCCACCAACCTCGAACCAGCCTTGGACGCAAATGGATCACATTGCGATAAGTTACCGATGGAGAGGCTGCATCCAGAATTGTCGCTCGATTTGGAGCACATGTGTGGACACCGATCATGCACTTGTATGTGCTGACATGCGGATGCGTTTTGGCGGACGCCCACGACGACGCTGTGAGCGCATTGACACCAGCCAACTGACAAAACCAGCTGTTCTGAATGCGTATCGAAGTACGCTAACATGCGAGTTGAGCAAGCGCTCACAGGAGACAATTGATGGTCACTGGTCACATGTTCGCCAGACCTTACTAGCAGCAGGCAAATCCTCATGTGGTATGTCTAATAGACAACATGGACATTGGGTCTCTTCTCGGTCTCTGGAACTTATCGATGCTCGCCGGCAAATCCCGGCTGGAAGCGAGCACAATGAAACTCGCAAAGAGCTCCGGGCAAAACTCCGTGCTAGCCTGAAGAGAGACCGCGAATCTTGGTGGTCACATCGTGCGTCAGAGATGGAAGTGGCCGCTGCCCTTGGCAACCATCATAAGTTATTCCGTCTGATACGGGAAACGGGCAGCAGGATACGTGGTGTTAGTGAAACAGTTTGTGACGAGAGTGGACAGCCTATCCACAATTTGTCAAAACGTCTGGAGCGTTGGGCTGAGCATTTTGAAAAGCAATTTAATCGGCAAGAATTGTTCAATTCGCCGGTCACTGATCGCCCCGCTCCGTGGGCTGTCCCTTTGGATCCACCCTCTCGCTCAGAAGTCGAACGTGAGATCGGACTGTTGAAGTTGAACAAAGCCGCGGAACCAGATGATCTTTCTCCAGCCCTCTTCAAATTCGGAGGCTCTGTTTTTGTTGATGCTTTGCATGAATTACTAGTGAAACTGTGGGAGCAGGAAACTGTCCCAACCGACTGGAGCCGCTCCGTTATTGTTCCCATCTTCAAAGGCGGCTCGCGTTCGGAATGCGGCAACCATAGAGGAATCAGTCTGATCTCCATCGCCTCCAAATTACTCGCCTCCATAATTCTCCACAGACTGACTGGCGCTCGTGAAAGCCAGATTCGTGAGGAGCAAGTCGGGTTTCGTCGTGGTCGTGGCTGCATCGACCACATTTTCACCTTGCGTCAGTTGTTGGAGCACCGTCACACATATTGGCGGCCCATCGTACTCGTGTTCCTTAACATCAAAGGTGCCTTCGATTTGGTTGATCGATGTGCCCTTTGGAATTGTCTACTCAGGAAAGGTGTGCCCGAGAAATATGTGAATATTATCCGAGCATTATATGCGCGTAGCACGGGCAGAGTAAGGGCTTACAGCAAGCTGTCGCCACCCTTCAATATCTCCAGCGGTGTGCGTGCGACAAGGATGCCCGCTGTCACCTTTCCTATTCAACTTCGCTATTGACGAAGTCATGGAGATTGCATTTACAGGACATGACTTGGAAAGTGTAGGGCTCCTCCAAGGAGAACGACTTCTCGATTTGGAGTATGCAGACGACATTGCCCTAATCCATGACAGCTCCCAGACGTGTCAAGCCGCGCTGGACAGATTAGCACTGGCTGTCAGTCGCTTCGGGCTTTGCTTTGCACCACCGAAGTGCAAAGCGTTCCTCCAGGATTGGCAGGGTTCGCCCCCTGTGCTGACCCTTGGTGGGGATCAGCTAGAAGTCGTTCAGAAATTCAACTACCTGGGAAGTTGTATCAGCGCCCTTGGGATCGAAGACGAGATCACGAACCGTATAGCGAAAGCTCGAAGTGCTTTTGCTAACCTTCGCCACCTGTGGCGGCGGCGCGACATCACTCTCGCCCTAAAGGGTAGAGTGTACAATGCAGCGGTACGTTCGACCTTACTGTACGGTTGCGAAACCTGGCCCGTAAGATCGGCGGACATGAAGAGGCTACTTACGTTCGACCATCGGTGCCTTCGCAGTTTGGCTCACATCTGGTTGGAGCACCGCGTGAGTAACGAGCGTGTTCGACGCCTTGTTTATGGAACAGGAAATGGAACTGAACAGCTCAGCACCGTTATTTCACGCACCAGGCTCCGATGGCTGGGCCACGTGTTGTGCATGCCAGCCCACCGACTCCCTCGACGTGCGTTGTTTGCTCACCGGGGATGTGGGTGGAAGAAGAGGAGAGGTGGCCAAGCGATGACTTGGTCCAGAGGAATGAAGGCCCTCACTTCGGAGCTGGCCTCAGTTGGAGCTTCACGGCTCCCTGGTTGGGGTCCAAAAGACGGTGAACACGTTTGGCTGGATATACTTGCTGATATGGCAAGGAGCCGACCTCAGTGGCGTTCCTGCTGTGAGTTTCTTTGTCCCTCCCCATCCCTTTAGCCTCCCCCTC